ACAATTTTGTCCCTAGTGTCCTTAGACAGCTCTTTGGTCTTGCCCATAGTGGAGAAGTTGGAGTCTGATAGACTGAGTGTGTGGACAGGTGTCTTTTATACAGGTAACAAGTTCAAACAGGTGCAATTAATACAGGCAATGAGTGGAGGATAGGAGGGCTTCTTAAAGACAAACTAACAGGTCTGTGAGAGCCAGAATTCTTGCTGGTTGGTAGGTGATCAAATACTTATTTCATGCAATGAAATGGAAATAAATTATTAAAAAATCTAACAATGTGATTTACTGGAATTTTTTTGTAGATTCTGTCTCTCACAGTTGAGGTGTACCTATGATGAAAATTACAGAACTGTCCATTCTTTGTAAGTGGGAAAACTTGAAAAATCGGCAGTGTATCAAATACTTATTTGCCCCACAGTAGCAGATTTGCTTGTTGGGTTCATGTCATTTATTCAGACTTTTTTATTTGCTTTCAAGATGTCCTCATTTAGTTGTCGGAAGACCACAGGCACAATGGGAATTAGCACAATAGACAAGATTTTTCTAACTCAGTGCATCGGAACAATCTATTACATTGCATATGTGTTATAGGTGTGTGTGCCTGAATGATGCTGAACGCTGGACAACCCAGCAGCTGTTGGACCATGCCTTCCTTAAGCCTCAATCTCCTAAAAACCTCCTGCAGTACCAAGATGCAAGCCCGGAAGGTTGTACACACCTCTGTTTACATTATGTAAAAGAGGTAGACAACATATTAGAAACATCTTTGAAAATGTTAAATATGTTTGATCTGCAAATTTTAGAATAGTGAAAAATATGTCATCATTTAGCATAATGTAAGCTACTTATTTTGGCTAATCAAAAGTCAAGCATCTAAAGATATGCAGTTTACAGTGGTTTAAAGCAGAGAACAGCAGCAAATCTTCCCAACTAAAAAGTGAAAAGTAAAGAATGTTTGATAATGACTGATGCAATATATTGATGATCAAAATTGTATCTCACCTAATTTTTTGTCTGTTAGTGTTCTAGCACTGTAATTTGTATCGGTTTATTGTACCGTATAACATTGCACTTCACAGGTGCAGTCAGTAGAGCTGATCCCTGTTCCAAATCTGTTGTACTAATGACTGTGAAAACACTAACATAAACAGATAAATGAGACTACTGAGGGGGTTTTTCATTTAAACATTTTGATACCAAAAAGACAATACAGTAGTTTTTATGCTATTTTTGCATTATCCCAGATCTTGCTGTGGACTTTGCGTCATCAGTCATCCCTCGGAGCCACATCCTCAATGCTCCATTCAGCTATGGGGTGCACAGGCAGTTTTCCCGCTACTTCAATGAGTTTGAGGAACTGCAGCTTCTGGGAAAAGGAGCCTTTGGTGCCGTTATTAAGGTACACTTACTTCACCCACTGTTATTACAGTGGCAAGATAGCTGGCTGTCATTTCTAAGTGTCTCCTCCACTCCCCCAGGTTCAGAATAAACTTGATGGTTGCTACTATGCCCTGAAGCGCATCCAGGTCAACCCAGCCAGCAAGCATTTCAGACGGATCAAAGGCGAGGTGACTCTGCTCTCCCGCCTTAACCATGAGAATATTGTCCGCTACTATAATGCTTGGATTGAGAGGCACGAGACGTCCTCCGCAGGGCTGCTGAGTGGCACTGATAGCTCAGAGCCTCGAAGCACAGCTGACAATCCTCCTCAGTGCAGAGATCCTCCTCAGTGCAGAGATCCTCCTCAGTGCAGAGGATCCTCCTCAGTGCAGAGATCCTCCTCAGTGCAGAGATCCTCCTCAGTGCAGAGATCCTCCTCGGCGCCTCAATGAGCTTGGCCTGCCTGACAATGTAGAGGACATCGCGCCGCCCCTAGCCCTGTCGAGCTCTGTGGAGTGGTCCACCTCCATCGAGAGGTCCTCCAGCGCTAAGTGTAGCGGACACCAGTCAAGTGATGAGGATGACGACGATGATGAGGAAGATGTGTTTGGTGCCTCATTTTTGTAAGTTGCTTTGGGGTTTTTTTTGTGTGTGGCAAATTTACTCCTGCTCAAACTGTTGAGAAATCTTTTCTTTTTTGTATTTAGACCATCAGACAGCGACTCAAGGAGCGACATTGTCTTTGACAATGGCGACGAAAGCACAGAGAGTTCACAGGCTGGAACTTTTAGGCTTCCTTATCCACTCACTTGTTTGTATTTATTTCTGTGTGTATTTTACACAGTGTAACAAATGGCTGATATATCCTTCCACAGGCTGAGACAAGTAGAAGGCCAGTGACTGACACAACAGAGAGCACAGACTCGGACCGATCTCTCCTCATAGCACATTACTTGTTCATACAAGTAAGCTTCATGTCCATGCTCCATTTTTACCACTAGAGGTCTCTGCTTCACATCTAAGCCACGCTTTGTGTACCTGACAGATGGAATACTGTGAAAAGAGCACATTAAGGGACACAATAGATCACGGCTTGCACCAGGACCAGAATCGCTTGTGGAGACTTTTTAGGGAAATACTAGATGGACTTGCTTACATCCATGACCAGGTATGGTGTATCAGTAACCTAAAATAACAAGAAAAGAAATCATGTTTCATTTACCCATGACTGAGCAGATCCCTCTATTCATCCTCCTTTCCACTAGGGCATGATTCACAGGGACTTGAAGCCTGTCAACATCTTCCTTGACTCACAGGACCATGTGAAGATTGGAGACTTTGGTCTGGCTACAGATCATCCTGCTTCTGTGGTATGAAGTTATCTGCCTCACCCTGCTGACAGGCTGCACTGATATGGAAGTAAATCCCGTCAAAACATTAAAGGGTACACAAACCACATTTCAAGCATGACTCAATGCTATCAACAATAACCTCTCTATCAGCAACAATTTCCTATAGCATTCATGTCACATAGGACCAATACTGTATTTCCCAGCTCTCTCTTTGATGAAATACAGTGATTTAATTATTTTCTGTACTTGGCCTATTTATGGCATGAAAGAAAAAAATTTCACAAGAAAATGACATAATATCCTAGCAGTGCGACCTTATTGTTTTAGGGATTCTGTAGGCCTACTGAGCTGAGCCAAAAGTTTTGAAAGCGCACAAAACAAGTTGCAAGCGCTTTTCAGTATGCAAATTAGAATTTGAGATTGCAGGGACATGTATTTGTGTGAGCAGAAACAGATTTGAGAGCAAGGGAGGACAAAATCGTGAGCATAATGTTAATTTGAGCGAGCACGACAAACTGGGGTTTATTTTTCCCACAAACACCGATGGAAAAACATGAGAATGCAGATTCAGAAACAAGTGCGTGTATGGCTGTGATTACACTGTCAAATCTGATTCTGCACTTACAAATATGTGTCTGTCTATAGTGCACCTTCAGATGTTTTGGCAGGGATGTACTTCCGTACACTGACTCTGTGTGGTGGGGATTAATATGAAAGATTACACTGTTTATGAAATATCAGAATCAGTTCATTGGCCAGGTGTGATGGACACATGAGGAATTTGACTCTGGTACATCGGCTCTCAATGTGCAAACAGTAAACCAGCATAAGGCTGTGTAATATAACAAAATAAGCAGTATTAACATCAATATTGACAGCAACAAACAGTGTAAACAATGCAGAATAAGCAGTATAAACAGACAGTAAACAATGCAGACAACAAGGAATGTTCGCTGAAATGAGATAAATATGGATAAGGGATAAAAATAGAGTACTTAAACTAGAGACTAGAGGGGGGGGCTCTTCCTTAAGTCCACTGTCATTTCCACTGTTTTGAGTGTGTTCAAGTTGTTGCGGCTACACCACAGGACCAGCTGCTCCACCTCCCGTCTGTAGGCTGACTCGTCACAGTCTTGGATGAGGCCAGTGACCGAGCTTGACAGAGGGGTCCTTCGAGATGCAGTCGTTGGTGTAGAGTGAAAACAGCAGAGGGGAGAGCACACATCCCTGGGGGGCGCCTGTGCTTATTGTCCGGGTGCTGGATGTGGTTTTCCCCA